ACATCCTCAATGCACTCCCCCTAGAGACGCAATTGGCCGATGTGGTCATGTGACCACCAGTCTCGGTCTTATATGAAGGGACACGGTGAGCAGCTACCATTAATGCCCCGGACGAAGGTGCTTTAGTAGCACCGAAACGCGCGTCGGATCACTTTTTTCTTTTATTTTTAGCACAACACACATTGTTTTCGCAATGGTTATTTAGGTAGGGGGATGTTTTGTAGACTCTTAACAATTAGAAATATGGACTTTGGTATTCAGCTGCCGTCATAGGGGTCCACAGGAATTTTTCCGGGTGCATAATTTTAATGACATCCATGCTTGGCCCCTTTTTGACAGTGTCATGAAAGGGAAGGAGCATAGTCATTTTCACATAAAGCCAGGGTGAATAGCTTTTTTACAACTATGGTGTCAGGAATATATGTTTGTATTCCTGACACTATAGTGTTCCTTTAATCAAATTAAAGGAATTTTCTGGTCACCATAACAATTTCAACTAAATGAAAATGCTATGATGCAAGGAGGCCCCTGGGTGCTCTCTTTCCTTTAAGGGGTGAAACCACTCTCAAATGGTTTACCCCCAAAGGCTTCCTCCAGCTCCAGATCTCCAGGTCGCTCAATGGTATTCAACTTCTTAAATGGAGTTTCAGGAAGTGCAGATTGACGTCAGGCATGGGTGCTGCTGATTGGCTAGAGTGGTCAGCTGACGCTCTCAGCCAATCGCTAGTTCCCGATTCATAAAAATGTTTTACGTTTTCATGAATGGGGAGCTACTGATTGGCTTAGAGTGCCGGCTGACCCTCTAGCCAATCAGCGGCACCCCTACCCAGTGACCCTCCGTGTTTCCTGGCACTCAGTAAATTAAAGTGAACACATTAACACTGATTTTTATTTTTAACCTGGGGAGATGAGAAGGTCCAAAGTTTCCCTGCCAGGCCCAGGTACCAAAGCCTTATGATGTGATGTCCAGAATGAAGTGCTCCAATCTCATTTTCGTCTCCTTCATTTGTCACAGTCTTCTTTTTCTTCTGAGGCTCCTTCTGCAGAGGCGGCTCTAGACTTTATGAGGCCTTAGGCGAAACTCAAACATGAGGCCCCACTAACAAAAAAGTGAAAAAAATAGTTGCAATACATGCACACTGTCACATATACACATTGATGCACAGTTTACCTGTGTATGTGCCTGAGAGTGTGTCTGACAGAGAGTATATGTGTGTGTGTGTGTGTGTGTGTGTGAATGTATGTCTCTGTGAGCATGTTTGCATTTTTGTCTGGTACCCTATGTGTATGGGGTAGCTGCTTGAAGAGGGGGGTGATGGTGAGAGGGAGAGGCGGGTGATGGTGAGTGGGAGAGGCGGGTGATGGTGAGGTGGCGTAATGCTGAGGGAGGGGATGATGGTGATGGAGGAGGTATGGTGACGGAGGGGGTAATGCTGCTGAGGGAGGGTGTGATGGGGGTAATGCTGTGGGTGGTGAGGGGGGTGATGCTGAGGGAGGAGGATGGTGGGGGTAATGCTGATGGTGGTGATGCTGAGGGAGGGGGGTAATGCTGAGAGTGGTCGGGGGTGATAATGAGGGGGGTAATGCTGAGAAAGGGGGGTGATGGTGAGGGGGGTGATGCTGGAGGGTGGTGAAGGGGGGATTTGGAGAGGGGGGTGATAGTGAGGGGGTGATGAGGGGGTGATAGTATGGGGGGGGTGATGGTGAGAGGGTGATGGTGAGGGAGGGGGATAATGCTGGGGGGTGTAAGAGGGGTGATAGTGAGGGGGGGATGGTGAGGGTGGTTAGGGGGGTGATGGTGAGGGGTGATGCTGACGTGAGGGGCTGATGGTGAGGGGGTGATGCTGAGGGTGGTGTGAGGGGGGTGATGGTGAAGGGGGTGACAGTGAGGGGGGTGATGCTGATTGATGGAGGTGAGGGGGTTGATAGTGAGGGGGTGATGGAGAGGGAGGGAGGTAATGCTGTGGGTGTAAGAGGGGGTGATAGTGAGGGGGGATGATGAGGGTGATGAGGGGGTTGTGACGAGACCAATCTTGCCACATTGCATTGGAGAAGCCTGGTTGCTCGCCTGCTGCCTTTGGACTATGGCCCCCTGTTAAAAGACATCTTTTTTTACCTGCAGAAAAGCTTCATTCGTGCTTTTCTGCCTGGGGTTCGGTAGATTTGTTTGAATGTGTTACACCCCAGATAGGAATCCCATGGAGCCCATTCGTATGAAACTGACTGTAAAGACTTTGGTTCCATGGCGATTAAACTGTATTTGTGTGGTCCGAGCGCCATTCACTTAATAATGTGCACTCAGACCTGAGCTATCTGGGGATATGTGAAATGTCTGTGTGTTATGTGTAAAATGTGACTTATGTATTTTAAAGTGTTTTGTGTCTTTTTGCAACCATGTGCTTAATGGAGTCTTGTGTCTGTCCTGGGAGATAATTGAATTACTTATCTCCAGGATAGAAGACTCTGAAACTGGTTTGGGCCAGAAAGCCATGCTTCATTTAGTCACAAAGGACTTTTACTAACTTTTGAACCCCTTGTCTGATTTGTGCCATTTTTGAATATGTTGTTCCCCTGAATGGATTGATTGTGAATATGTAATTTTATGTGAATGTGATGTATGGTTTTGGAGTTATGAAAGCTGGGTAGAAAGTATGTTTTAACTGTATGTATAATTGAGTTTCCTCTCAGGATAAGGGGAGGGAATATGTGGGATGTAACTGTGATGTGATTGGTTGTTTTATACCTCCCTGTGGGCGGTCCTGTATTTGCAAGACTGTAATAAAACCAGGCTGGGTGTGCCAGCACCTCAGACCACTGCTTGACCCTCAACACGGAGCCTTGTCTCGTTCTTGGGGGGATTCACTGTATGCTGTTAGAGACTGATGCCAGGAGTGTAAGCTGTTCTTCTGCTTTTCCTGTTCGTCTGCTAGCAGCTATTTGGGAGGTTCCAGTTCGGGAGTTGGAGTGCTATTTTGTATCCAGTTCGTGAGTTTTGGTGTTCTGCAGTAGCTGTGCCTGGATCTCTGGAAAGGGGGCCGATCGCCTAAACGGTTTTTTCCCCTTGTGTTCAAAACGGTCCGTTACAGGGGTGATAGTGAGGGTGGTGAGGGGAGGTGATAGTGAGGGGGGTGATGCTGAGGGTGGTGAGGGGAGGTGATAGTGAGGGGGGTGATGCTGATGGTGATGGGGTGATAGTGAGGGGGTGATGCTGAGGGTGGTGAGGGTGGGTAATGCTGAGGGTGTGAGGGGGGTAATAATGAGGGGGGTAATGCTGAGGTTGGTGGGGGGGGGATGCTGAGGGTGGTGAGGGGGGTAATAGTGCCCCCCATCCCTCACTTACGTGATCTGTAGGCTGCGTCTGTGCTGCTCCCCTGCAGTTTCAGTCATGAGCGAGAGGCAGGGATAAGCTGTAGCTTCCTGCCTTTTAACATTCACAGCGCCACCTACTGGCCGGCGCCAGTATTGCAGTGTATTCTCACACAAACCAAAATAGCAGCACAAGCTGAAAAATCCAGGGGGGGGGCAAGTGCCCCCTCATGCCCCCACCCCCCCCCCCGTGGACGCCCATGGCTGCTGTCCAGGTTAACTGTCAATATCCAGTCCTGTATCGAGGACAAAAGCCAGAAAAGTTAGAGCAGACATTTACTGCTCTCTCTTTGTGAGTTTTATTTTATCTATTATTACATACTATTCCCCCTTTTTTCTCTTTTATGCATTATGTTCATACATGTACCTGGAAGGAATATTGTGATACTCCAATTTCAGGAGATTATTAGTAAGTTTCTCTAGTAGACTTATCACTTAATTTGCACATTTATTTAATTTATTGATTTTGTATTGCTGGCACTATATTGTGCATTGTACTGACATTTTTCACTGTGATCTGGTCTTCTTTTTTTGTGTGCCTTTAATCTCTTTATAGTTTAAGAAAAACTGTATCCTACAATCTCAACTTAAGTTCAGTCAGTGGCGTCGCTAGGGGGGGCCAGAGGGGGCCATGGCCCCCCCTACATCATGCTGTGCCCCCCCTTGGGCCCCCCCAAATGCCAGCAACTTGCTGGCCATGGGATTCCCTCGGACTGTAACAACCTGTTACAGCCCGAGGGAGGGAATGCAGTGCTGAGCTGCTGGGGGCTGTCTGTGGCCGGAGGGAGCACTGATTGGCTCCCCGGCACAGGCCCCGCCCCCAAACGAAGCTCCGCCTCCCGCCGATAAGCTCCGCCCCCGCCGTAAAGCAGCAGCCCATGCTGCGCTGCTTCAGAAAATGGCTGCCTGACCCCCAGCAACAGCCTCCAGTGACAGGTAGGCTGGGGGGGGGAGCCCACACACACTGCCCCCATACTGCCCCATACACACACTGCCCCCCATACTGCCCCATACACACACTGCCCCCCATACTGCCCCATACACACACTGCCCCATACACACACTGCCCCATACACACACATTGCCCCCATACTGCCCCATACACACACATTGCCCCCCATACTGCCCCATACACACACACTGCCCCCATATACTGCCCTATACACACACATTGCCCCCTGCTACTGCCCCATACACACACATTGCTCCCCATATTGCCCCATACACACACATTGCCCCATACTGCTCCCCATACACACTGCCCCCATACTGCCCTATACACACACTGCCCCCCATATTGCCCATACACACACATTGCCCCCCATACTGCCCCATACACACACACTGCCTCATACTGCCCCATACATTATTATTGCTCCCCCTGAGTACTGCCCCACATACACACATTGCCCCCATACTGCTCCTACACACACACTCAAGCCCATACACACACATTGCCCCCGCGACAATACACTCTACACACATATCATTCCTCATACACACACACTGTATGGACTCAGCAGTCTGTGTGTGTGTATGGACTCAGCAGTCTGTGTGTGTGTATGGACTCAGCAGTCTGTGTGTATGTGTATGGACTCAGCAGTCTGTGTGTTTGTGTAGACTCAGCAGTCTGTGTGTGTGTATGGACTCAGCAGAGTCTGTGTGTGTATGGACTCAGCAGAGTCTGTGTGTGTATGGACTCAGCAGTGTGTGTGTGTGTGTGTGTGTATGGACTCAGCAATCTGTGTGTGTGTGTGTGTGTGTGTGTATGGACTCAGCAATCTGTGTGTGTATGTGTATGGACTCAGCAGTCTGTGTGTGTGTATGGACTCAGCAGTCTATCAATAATTAAAATTCCTGTGAGTTGTTGTGTAGGAAGGGCCCCAGTGCATTGCTTTGCCCAGGGGCCCTTAACTCTGTTAAAATGGTACTGCTTGTGTGTGTCAGTGAGCTTCTATTTAGTGAGCATGTGTGTGTCAGTGAGCTTGTCTTTAGTGAGCTTGTGTGTGTGTCCCTGAACTTCTTTGTAGTGAGGCTTCTGTTTATACAAGTGAGTGTCTGTAGTAAGCTTGTGTGTGAGTCAGAGAGTTTTGTCTGTCAGTAAGCCTATTTGCGCATGTCAGTGAGCTTGTGTGCTTACTGTACTATATATATATATATATATATATATATATGACTTGTGGGAATGGCATACGTTTTTTTTCCAGGGCTGCTTTGGATTCCCAGGGATTCCCAGTTTGGCTCTGCCAGCGAGTGCATTTTACCGCTGAATAATCTGTGTGAGCTGCCGCACACTTTAGCCCTGTTACACGCGTCTGGGAGCTGCTGTTGACAGGTACTAGTAGTCTAGAGATTGGGGTATATGCTCAGCTATCTGTATAATACAGATCTGTGTGTATAAAATATCCCGGGATAGTCAGTGCTTCCTGTATAGTGCTGCTCTCTGTCTTGGGATATTATACACAAACAGACCTGTATTATACAGAGAGCAGCACTATACAGGGAGCACTGAGTGTCCCAATTTATTATACACACAACCCTGTATTATACAGAGAGCACTGACTGTCCAGGGATATTATACCCAGACAGTAATTGATAGCTGTGCTGCAAAACGTCCTTGGAATTTTTTTCCAAATGTTGGCAACTATGGCACTGTATCAAGGATAATGTGTTTGTTTTTTTAATAATCCCTGGTGGAAAATAATGAATCCTCCACCAGGTATTATTAAAAAAACAAAACACATTGTGTCGGGGGCGTGGCTTAACATGCGACAGGGGCGGGGTCAAACTGCAATGAGGGCGGGGTTAAATGTGCCCCCCTACTTTTGTCACTGGCCCTCCATGTGCCCCCCCAAAAAATGAATCCTAGAGACGCCACTGAGTTCAGTAACAGAAGCTAATATTATTCATGTCTGTGTTTTATTGTGCTTGCAATATTTCCTTGCTTTTTTTTCTTTTGATTATCATTGAATTATTAGTCTAATACTAAGGAAAAGAAGAAAAAAAAATACCTCTCATGTTAAAGCATTTTTAAGAGTGAAGTTCATGTGCACTCTTAAAAATGCACACAGAATGCATTTAAATTAGACTTTTAATAAAGAGTTTGTGCACACTGAATTATGAATAATTTTAAGCAGCTGGACCTATTTCATAATGATATTGATGAGACCCATCTGCTGCTGTTGGGTATTAAGGTCCACATTATATAGTATTTTAAATGTATAGTGTTCCTTTTTTTATCTTTTATTTCTTTACAGCTACTGACTGGCATTGCATAATTTTGCCTAGTCTGTTGTTAATTGTTCAAGTCATTCTCCTTTACTAAGATCTTAAACTTTCCACTTGTCAGTTTAGTTGCATAATTTAGCCAAATTTATTTATCTAGAATTGATATTCTATTCAGACTAAATTAATATCCCTAATTATTTACAGATAATGAAATATAACTCTTGATGCCATTTGAAAGTTGATTGATACATTGTTCTTAAGTAGTGGACCCCACAAAGAATTTGTCTTGCCGTTGGATCCTCCTTAGTACAAAAATCTTTCTGTGACAAAGCTCCCTGTACCCTGGTTGGGTACCTCCATCCGATGGATGCTCCTAGTGCTTCTCAAGGACCATCAGCACCACACCATTAGTGCTGCAGATTCCACAAACTGCCGTAGCTTGGTTGGGATCTCGCCGTCTCCTTCCCACTCTGGTCCAACCTCTGGATCCAGGACCGTGTGGGAAGGACCTCTCCTCCAGGAGAGTATAGCTGTATAGCTGAAGAGAGCTCTTACACGAGTTAGCAGTGATATAGCAGTTATAGCTGTTCCCTACAACATGAGACGAGGCTGCGAGTTGAGGGTAAGAAGGTCTGGTTTATTGAGCAACTTGCATTTCTTTTATACAGAGTTTCAGGCCAGGGACACACTCCTTGGACCTGATGGAACACAGGGACATAAGGAACATAAACCAATGGGAACAATAATTATTACTGTAACACTCCCACATTCAGGCAGCAAGCCCTCCCCTCTGCCTGTGATATAATTAACAAAGACAATGGACTAACTCAATTAACTTTAGTAGAAAAAACACACAGTTTTATAAACCCCAAAAAGTACCCCAAAATACAACATATTTCCACAAGTCACATCCCCTGATAGCCCTGATCAGGGTGAACAACATATCCAAAAATCACCCAGATCGGTTCAGGGGTTCAGGAATTTCCTGGAAGTTTTATTTTTGCGCCACTGTGCACATGGTCCCATGTCCAAAACAGCTCCATACACTTGACGACAAAACACTGCTGGACAATTTAAGATAGCCGCTGCCACATGTTTGTATCTGTTCCAGTTAAAAGTCCAAGGGGTAGAAACAGTACCTTAAAACCCAATATGTCCAAATAGTGGTTTTATAGGGCAATACCTCCCAGGGGCCATAGTCCACAGGCAAGAGGCTGGCAATCAGGCCCCTCCAAAAGCCAGTGGCGAAGTGCAGTTCGTCACACTTTCCTCTACAGATTTTCTTAAGATTGTATGAATGCTTTTTTGCGAAAAAAAAACTGAACATTCAATGACATATAGAGTTATTCACTGATGTCTGAATGCCCCTATACCAAATTAGGCAAAATCATTAGCTACAGCACAGGGCTATCTGATCTGCAGAATTCAGACGTTGTTCTGAGAATGCAACGATATCCAGATTTTGTAATTCAAACCCCATACAGAACTGAATTTGATCTGGATTTTAGCCAGACAGAATTACGCCATACCACTGAAATCCAGACTGAGTGCTGCAAATCCGGGCCCAGAGGCATCAAAGATTTTTTTAAAATCCAAATTATATTACAGACACTCCCATTACCCTGATTATTAATACTATGGCCCCCACCTGTCACCAATGGTGGGACATTATATCTATATCTGATTAATTGTATTAAGGCCCTCATCAATTTCCTATCGGTGGGGGCAGGGGGGAACATTAAGTCCTCCTCATCACTATTATTCATTAGGGCACCCACTCGTTGCCCTTGTGTGGGGACCATGGACAATAACGATGGGACAATGACTTGAAGGCTGCATAGGCCTAGATATTAATGAAGGAGCTGTGCAAGCTTTAGATCCATTTAAGCCAAAAAATAACTTTGCAGGTTTATATGTGCACCTAACCAAAGGACTCCACTCAGAGTGGGTATGTGCCAGTAACCAGAGGCTGCAGACCTATTATATCAAGGAGTAAATATACCTAAAGGAAAGTATTTATTGTTCTAAGTGTTACTCGTACAGTTATGATTGCAAAGTGTATATACATCTATATAGATCAAATAAATGTTCTTCTTGTTATTGTGCTTATCTGATTAAGTTAAGGGGACACTCTGAACCCCTACAGCAGTTTAGCTTGCTGAAATGCTTCGTGCGAAGAGTGTGTTCTCTTGTTTTTATTTTTACATAAAAGTGCAGATATCAATAGAAATAGGCACTTATTTAAATTAACTGTTATATATTGTGTGTATTGTTATACTTGCCTGGTTTTTAAGCACATAAAAGGGTGTGTTACTTCCTGGTAGTTTAGCTCAGTACTAAGCTCAAAATGCAGGGGAAAAATGGGCTGGGGAAAAAGGGGAGGACTTGAAAAATCAGTAGGCAGAAGAACTACAACTTTTGCAAACTGTTTTTAGATGTACTACCAATGAAAACACTGCTTAAGTAAATGAATGCAATCTACTAAACCGTGATTTATTTATTTATTTTAAATTTGGGCAGTGGTTAACTAAATGATAATCTAGAATCAGATACAAATCAGAATCACAACAGCCCTGTATATAATGGAAAATGTATTCCTAGGGGGCGTGGCCTGGACACGGAGGAACATGGCAGCTTAGGCATGGAGCTCCGACCCACGAGCAAACACAGCACACCTTACCGTTAGCAAGGCACGAGGATGGGGCGCACAAAACGCCCGGACGGGTCGCAGACGCCGAGGGGTCACTCCTCCAGCACCTCGGCTGGCCCCATGGATGGGTTTCTGGCACCCGCGACGACCACGCTGCAGGAGGCCGCAGGCTCCAACATGGCCGACTCACCGGCCCGCTCCAGGGCGACGGAGGGTGGCGAAACAACGCTGGCGGACATAAGTGCTGATCTGAAGGCACTTGCCACGAATATGGTCACCAAGGAAGACCTCCGCAGCCTCTCTGACACCCTCCATGCCGCCATCCGCACAGAGGTAACCGCGCTGCGGTCAGAAATGACGGCGCATGCTTGCAGGCTACAGCACTTAGAATCTGCCACACAGTCCCACACAGCCCAAGCTGAAGCCTCTACCCTAGCCATCTCCAGACAGGGGAACATGCTGCTGGCCCTCAGACGCCACACGGAGGATCTAGATAACAGAGGCCGCAGGTCCAATATTAGGGTACGCGGCCTGCCAGAGCCAGATGGCGAGGAAGACGTGGAGGCTACGCTGCGCGCATTTTTCAGAGGTTTACTGGGCGCTGAAGCCCCAGCCACAATAGAGTTTGACAGAGCGCATAGAGCAAATCGGTTGCGCACTAATGAGAGGACGCCACGAGATATTATATGCTGCATGCATCAGTACAAATTGAAGGAAAAGATCATGGCCAGAGCGAGATCCAGAACCAACATGGAGATTCCATGACGCAGATGTCGCCCTCTACCAGGACCTCTCGCCTCTAACCCTGGAGGCACGCAGAGCACTGAGGCCGATCACGACACAGCTCCAAGAGAGGGGTATCCACTACAAATGGGGCTACCCCTTCGCCCTGTTAACCAGACACCAAAATGAATGGGTCCCCTTACACTGGCCGGAGGAAGCGCCCAGATTCCTGCAACGCCTAGGACTACCACCCACGGAAATCACCAACTGGGTCTTCGGGCCTCCAGATCAGAGGACAGGCCCACAGACACCGAGACAATTGGGCCGACGCAGAGATGGCACTCCACGGCGCCCTACAGCTCGCAGACAGCTAGCGCCCACCGAACCAGAAGAGTGAAAGCAGGCGGCTGGATGGCTACCCCTCCCGGTGTCCGCTGACCTGGCCCTCTGGACGCGGCCACACAGGGAACCCAAAGGAGAAATCCATAAACCCTCGACCGCCTGAAGACACCTGACCCCAGATAAGTTTCGCACCTCACGCACTTACAGACATTGACCCTAGCACACGCACTAAATACCCCACCTACAGGGAGACACTTAGAAGAGACACGAGCCTTAGTCCCCTGACACATGGCCGCTGAGGTACCCTCTTGAGGAAAGCAAGACATCAGAGGGGGTCACACTGACGGAGTTGCAGGGGCCTGCCTGCACCGCCGTCAGGGGGCCCTTTTGGAAATCGGGGACATTAACACTAACTGGCCGATGGCCTTGGCTGACAGGTTCAAAGGCCATCGGGCTTACTGAGAGATGTGGGTGGGAACCCCTGGAGCAATTGCTGCGCACATGTTTGGGTGGGCACACCGGGTGGGGATGCTGAACATCATATGATTGCACTCTGGACTTCTAAATATAACACTGTGGTTTAGTTTTTGCTCTGTTGGCATGGGGGTTTGCTTGGGGGGGCTGGAGGGAAGAAAAAAAAAAAGTGATGTGGTTAGAAGGTTATGCTCCGACATAGAGCCTTGGGGAAGGGAAAGCTGAGCTGAGCGGGTCTAGGGGTGGTGGGGGTGGGAGAGGGCGATGGAACTGTAACTTGAAGTATATGCAATTTGTACTGCTAATATGTTGTCACCACACGCTCTCAGAATCACATGCAGTGGAACCACGCCCAGTGACAGTTTAGCATGGCCCACACAGTAAGCCCCGCACACCAGAGCCAGGTTGGACACACTAGATAGCTGGAATAGCTTCCCGACCGCCTAACTGGCCCCACCCCCCCTCCCCCCACCAGTACACACCTACCTCGAGGGAGGAGCACACAACCCCTGGGTGATAGCTAACGACATCATAAGCTGACCTGACCATCGACTCCAGACGGGGCCTGACGCACACATGTAACCAGAACACACCCAGAAGTGACCTTATGATAGACTGATAGAAAAGGAATGGATACCGAAAAATATACGTGGGGATCGGATCCCAACCTTGGGCTGCCATTTCATGACTTGACTATTACCACCTCCTAACCTGTAATTCACAGGTACTAGACACGTTTATCTCCTGATATTCCACCCCCAGATAGGACCTGTGTTCTCCAATTACTGGAGGGGACAGATCCGCGGCTGTCCTACGAGACGGTGCGGACCTGATACTCGATCCAGTCACACAGGTCGCCCTCAAATTGAGGGACACAACACTTCAGGTGGGACACACGCTGGGTGGACTCCCGGATCCGCCCGGATTCGGATACCCTTGCCTTCCCTGCTCCCTCCCCAACCTCCCCTTCTCCCTCACCCCCCTGACTGGGGGGGGAAAATAAATATAAAAAAAAAATAAAAAATAAAAAAGAGAGAGAGAGGAGGCTGCCACTACCACAATACCATCACCACACACTTAACGCCTGTACACATACGGGAGACCTCCCAGTACAATGTCCGACGTGCGTGGAACACGGGTACCTCGGGGGCGTGGCGACTCGGCGTTCACAGCTGCCCCCTTCCGAGTAGTCACACAGAACTGCAGAGGCCTGAACGCTCCAGAGAAACGTGCACACCTCCTACGGGAACTGAAACAGCAGCATGTGTCAGTAGCACTACTACAGGAAACGCACCTGAGAGTGACGGACACACGGCGGCTGACAGACAGGCGCTTCCCGGATGCCTTCCACAGCACCCACCCGACGGCTCGCAAAGCGGGCGTGGCGATCCTCCTGGCCAACAGCCTCCATTTCACTCAGAGCGACATGATGGCCGATGGGTACGGCAAATACCTGTTTGTAAAAGGAGTAGTAGCCCAGAGGACATACACATTCGCATCAATATACGCTCCGAACACCAAACAGGCAAAATTCCTCCGCGCTACACTCCTCAAATTAGCCAACTTCACCGAAGGTGCCCTTATAATGGGGGGAGACTTTAATGCACCCCTGGACCCGATTCTGGATTCGTCGACAGGGCACAGCAGTATCCCGCAAACAGCCATCCGGACGATACGCAGGACTCTTCGTAACCTGCGCCTTGTGGACGCATGGAGAACCCTCCACCCAGGGGACCGTGATTACACGCATTACTCGGCTTTACATCATAGACACTCTAGAATTGACTATCTCTTCCTCCAGCAGGAAGGCCTCCACGGACTACTGGATGTGGAAATCCGCCCTACCCCATGGTCGGACCATAGCGCAGTATCCATGCTCATGGACTCGCCTCTATACAGGCCGGTCCAGTCTACCTGGCGACTGAACGAATCGCTCCTCTCCGACATAGCGATCCAAGCTCAATTAGTGGAACATCTAAATAATTACTTTACCGAAAACGACACTGACGATGTCTCTGCGTTGACCCTGTGGGAGGCTCACAAGAGCGTTCTCAGAGGACTCCTCATACGGATATCTGCGGAAAAAAAGAGGGAAGCACAACAACAAATGGCGTCACTCGCAGACCAGATAGCGACGCTGGAAACGCTGCACAAGCGGACTCAACTGGAGTCGCACTACCGCACTCTCCTGACAACCAGACGCCAACTAACGGAATTGATAGCCCGCAAGCACTACAGGACAACCCAGAGGTCCAAGGCCTTCTTTTATATACACGCCAATAAGGGGGGGAGACTCTTAGCACACATGATACGGAACCAACAAGCCACCGCACAGGTGAGCGCTTTACGCACGACTAGGGGCAACCTCACACAATTCCCCGGAGAGATAGCGAGCGAATTTCGCTCCTACTATGAAGACCTGTATAACATAACGCCAGGAACTCCGGACGCGGACATGACCAGAA